GGGCTTCTTGCAGATAGCTTGGCTTCACATAGGCGTCTTCTAATTGTAACAGTACTCGCAGGTAACTTTACACCTTCTTTGATCTTCCTGGAGCTGATTGTTGGCTGAGTCCTTGCCATTTTGGCTATTCTTCTATCCATTCGAATGGTAGTTTTTCGCTTTCTTCCACGTCTTTCAGGCTTTGGTTGCCATTTTAAAGCATTTGTGATCATTTTAGCCGAGCAGCCTATCATTTTCTGTACTTCTTTATATGTTTTTTTTCCCCTCTCCAATCAACTTTTTAATCAAGGTACGCTGTTCTTCTGAACAATGTCTGGAACGACCCATTTTCCTCAGAATTTCAGAGAGAAATGCACTGTAACCAGCATGTACAACATTTGCTGCCTTCCTTCCTTAAATAAGGGCAATAATTTCCACCTGTTTTTCAAAGAATGAATGACCTCACTAATAGAACTCCACACTGCTATTATTTTGAACATGCACCTTTCAATTAGTGATTCAATTACACAGAATCAGCAGCATGCATGTCATGACTGTTGGATTTCTATTACTCTACTACACCTGCTAGTAAATTATTTGCCATGTGGAAATATAACTTCTACCAAAAACAGTGATTAATCAGGTTAGTGATGTCTGACTGCTATTATTTTGAACACAACTATATATATATATATATATATATATATATATATATATACTATATATATATATATATATATATATATATATATATATCCTGCGTGTTGAAGTTATTCACAACTATAAATATACAATTTATACAGAATCCCATATTATATTATATTATATTCTTCAATATTTCATTCAAATAAACTCATATATAACCACTAACAATTTTATGTGCAAAAAACATTAATTATCAATAACATCAGTGCGCATGAAAAAGTGCTCTGTTGCTGTAAACATATGTCCACCTCTGGGCTCATAATACTCTCACCTCTGGATTTGATACATAAAATCTCTTTTATAGATCTAATATGTGCTTTCTCCTTTAAGAGGGATCTCAGCACCACTGGTTCCTTCCTCAAATCCTCCTTCCGCTCTTATCCTCCTTTGTTTGGCAATAGCATACTCTTTCCTTTCAAATAGTAGCAGCTTTATTGCTCAGTGCACTATTCTGGTGCACTACAATAAAACAGCATGGATATGCCCTTAAGAAACAATAGGATTGTAAGAAGCAACGCTCAGTCTGGTGTCTGCTCACTTCTGTTATCGGAGTGATGACGTCACTGGCCCCGCCATGATGTGTTTCGTCACAACACCTGTGGCTTTCTCCTATATACTATAAACCAGCTTTTATATGTTGCCTCACAGTGCTACCCCTTGCCCTACATACAGTTTGTAATAAATTGTATTATAAATACTTTTGTTACCTTTGGTTATATATGCAGTCACGTGACCACAAAGCTCTGTCTCATCTTAGCAATGTATATGACCGACAATGGGGTTGAATTCATTAGTGACATCACCAACTGGTGTCTCCTACTTTAATCCACTGTCGAAGAGGAGAGAGTTTTGCTCCCACCTTCAACAGACACTTAGAGAGGAGTGAGGGTGGGAGCTTTGCAGTCATGTGTCCACAAGAAAAACATTATAAAGAATGTTATGATGACATTTATTACAGACTGTATGTAGAGCAAGGGGTAGCGCTGCAAATGCACCATATAAAAGCTGCGTACAGGGCCAATCACTCAAAGGTGTTTGCCCCATGAGAACTTGCATGTTAGTTGTGGACATTAGCTGTGGCAGCAGCCTCCCATTGTTTATAACCGCCAATTGCAGCTACCCGCTGGGGTTCCTGCATGTTCCTTGTCTCCTCCTCCCATGCTCATCTCCAGGACTTCTCCAGAGCTTCCCCCATCCTCTGGAACTCTCTACCCCAATTTATCAGACTATTGCCTACTCTGCTCACCTTTAGGCGATCTCTGAAAACCTATCTCTTCAGGGAAGCCTATCCTGCCCTCAGCTAACAATGGAATCTTCTATTCCTCCTACCAGTCCAACCCCCACAGTTATTACCTTTTGTACCACTAGCCCTTCCCTCTTAGATTGTAAGCTTCAGGGAGCAGGGCCCGCCTAACCAGAGGTGGACTGACCATTAGGAAACTCGGGCACTGCCCGAGGGCCCGCGGTCAGTAGGGGGCCCCATGAGATGCCCCTGGTACCTTTTTCATAGGCTTTTTTGAGTTTGGGCAAGGACACAGGGGCCCCATGATCCCCTATTGCCCGGGGGCCCCATGAGTTGTCAGTCCGCCCCTGCTGCTAACCCTCATGTATTGAACTGTATTGTTGCTGTATTGTCTCCCATCATATTGTAAAGCGCTGAGCAAACTGTTGGCGCTATATAAATCCTGTACAATAATAATAATGTAATCAGTGTTAGGCCTTTTCGCAGGTGTGAATGCAGCCAAAGAGTATTACTGGATTCAATCTACAGCATTTAGAAATAAAAACACTGCACATGCATTTTGCACACATCTTCAAAGTGCATTTTAATGTTCTTAATGCATACTTTGTTGTATTTTTTTAAACACATTAACTTACGAAATGATCCAAACTGCATACTAAACATAGTAGGCGTAGACACAGGCTATGCATACAAGGCTGTATAGTGTGAACTCAGCCTTATTTTATAGCAGACAATATGTACTGGGATCGCTGAACAAAATGTTGAAATTAAAACTATTTACTTGTTTTACGCAGAGGATTTTAGGAAGTGAAAAAGCATTCCTTGAATATTTATTGAAAGAATGTTTCTCAAATCTGTGGCTAAAAATGGTATCCTTATAAGGTTAAAGCTTTGTACTTTTAGGTACTCATGCTGTTCTTATCTGAGTCAAGGGGATTATTTACACATGTTAATGTTAACAAGACAGTAAATAAAAAGGAAATTAGGAATTCAGCCGATGTAATGTTGCACGAAGCTAGGACTACATTAGTAATAATATAATTAGTAATAATATAATATGTAAGTGTATAAATGTGCTGAAACTTCTTGATATTTGTGCTATTATTTCAAGAAAAATACACAAAATTCATGGCATGTAACCAATATTCAGAGAAATGCAATGTTATCTTAAGCCCTCTGAAATGAATATCAAAATGACACACATTCTAGACATTTTGATGCTGTACTAGGACTTTAGGATGATTCCACAAAGAAGGAAAAGGTAGCTTTGAGTACTCCTCAGAGGAACTTTTTCTAGAAGACTCACAAGGGCGCATTTTCCTTTATACAGATACTTCTAACTACTTCTAAGAAATTTAGGTTTTCATTAGCTGTTCACCAAGAGTAAGTGAAGTCCATTATCACTATCAATCCTACCAACCCTGCCAGGCCAGCTCAACATTGCCCTAGTTAACATCAAACACAGCATAAGTTCTACTGATGTAAAATTCATAAATAAGTCTGGAGGCTGAGAAGGCCTATAATTTGGCGCTGTTGTTCATAATAATACCTGTAAAACAATATTTTGGACTAGTGGTGGGAAAAACAATAGGGTCGATTTAATAAAACTGGAGAGTGAATAATCTGTTGCAGCTCTGCATGGAAACCAATCAGCTTCCAGGTTTTTTTTTTTGTCAAAGCTTAATTGAACAAGCTGAAGTTAGAAGTTGATTGGCTACCATGTACAGCTGCACCAGATTTTCACTCTCCAGTCTTAGTAAATCAACCCCAATTAATGTTTTTCTTGCAAAACGATGGTCTTTGCAATACTACCTATTAGTATCTAGCAATATCTATGGTTTGGAGAGAGACCACCAAGAAAAAAAGAGAGATACTGCAAACAAGCCTGTAAGCATAAAACATATGTGAAATGGCAGCTTAGAGTACAATAGAACACCATGGGGGAACAATAGTTCTCTGCACTGACAGATGAGCTGTACATAAGGGACTGGCATAAAACAGTTGAAGCACCAGGGAAAGCATGGCAAAATAAATTTTTCTCTGACATTATTCTGGAATGCATTTCAACACAGCCCTGTGTTTACAGCTCATCTGTCAATGCATTGAGGATTACTATTGTTCCTTATGCTGGCCCATTATGCCCTGTGGTTTTCTCCCTGATTTTGACAAAACTGTGACAAAACATAGATTGCAAGATGGTCATATGAACCTAGTGGTAAATCAGTAATGTTTTCATTGGCCAAATACACTGGTGCATAGACTTTTACAGTTAATAACATAGTTGTCATAAATTATTTACACTGTCTTTATCATATACACTGACTGGTAGGTATTGTCTTCGGTGGGCCACAGACCACCTTTCCTCAGACATATTCGAACCCCTCGTGTATTGTATTGTTACTGTATTGTCTCATGTACTGTCCGACACTATAATGTACATCGCTGAGCAAACTTTTGGCGCTATATACTGTATAATAATAATAATAATATTCACCAAACAAAGCCAATTTAAATCGCAATAGCCTCCCTACCACCACCCCTAGTAAAATAGGAGCCTGAACAGCAAAAAAAAAAACAAAAACAAAGAAATCAAACGGGTCTACTTAATTCTTTATTGTGTAAAATAGCATAAACTATGTGATATATATACTACATCACACGACACAACTGATACATTCAGACAGTGCTGCAATCAAATTATGTATACACAGTGTTAGCTATCTAATTTTCAACATTCACAGTGGAATGGTGTGATGTGTAATGTACTGCACAGAGAACAGGATGGGTTATTCAGCACAGTGTACATAGACGGAGGTTTAAGATTAAAATGTTATGTGCAGCACAGCCAGAATGGACAAAAGTTTGCTAGCATCATAGTAAACATGGAGACATCTGTATGCAGCATATCACACTAAACTCAATGATGCTAAGTCTCCATGCACACTAGGTGTTTTGACGCTGGTAACGTTAGCTGTGTAAAGTCACGTTAAAAACGTCTTCTCCTATACTATGTCCGCAGTCTGTGGTCGTCTCCTGTACTGTGTCCGCAGTCTGTGGTCGTCTCCTGTACTGTGTCCGCAGTCTGTGGTCGTCTCCTGTACTGTGTCCGCAGTCTGTGGTCGTCTCCTGTACTGTGTCCGCAGTGTGTGTGGTCGTCTCCTGTACTGTGTCCGCAGTCTGTGGTCGTCTCCTGTACTGTGTCCGCAGTCTGTGGTCGTCTCCTGTACTGTGTCCGCAGTCTGTGGTCGTCTCCTGTACTGTGTCCGCAGTCTCTGGTCGTCTCCTGTACTGTGTCCGCAGTCTGTGGTCGTCTCCTGTACTGTGTCCGCAGTCTGTGGTCGTCTCCTGTACTACGACCGCAGTCTCTGGTCGTCTCCTGTACTACGTCCGCAGTCTCTGGTCGTCTCCTGTACTACGTCCGCAGTCTCTGGTCGTCTCCTGTACTACGTCCGCAGTCTCTGGTCGTCTCCTGTACTACGTCCGCAGTCTCTGGTCGCCTCCTGTACTACGTCCGCAGTCTCTGGTCGCCTCCTGTACTACGTCCGCAGTCTCTGGTCGTCTCCTGTACTACGTCCGCAGTCTCTGGTCGTCTCCTGTACTACGTCCGCAGTCTCTGGTCGTCTCCTGTACTACGTCCGCAGTCTCTGGTCATCTCCTGTACTACGTCCGCAGTCTCTGGTCTTCTGTACTGTGTCCGCAGTCTCTGGTCATCTGTACTGTGTTTGCAGTCTCTGGTCTCCTGTAGTATGTCCACAGTCTATGGTCATCTCCTGTACTATGTCCGCAGTCTCTGGTCATCTCCTGTACTGTACTATGCCTGCAGTCTCTGGTCATCTCCTGTACTATGTCTGCAGTCTCTGGTCATTTTCTGTACTATGTTTGCAGTCCATTGGTTCAGAAAATTTTTTTCCTTGGTTTTCCTCCTCTAAAATCTAGGTGCGTTTTATGGTCAGGTGCGTCTTATGGAACAAAAAATACGGTACCCCAGTTTGGCTTTCTACTTCTTTAACCAACTGCAGTGAACTTGCATGGTGATTTTATTCAGCCATTCTCATCAGAAGACACTCCTGTCGGGGTGTTAACTTCCGTGGACGGCCTGGATGCCTCTGTGAGATGGTTGCAGTTCCATCTTTGGCAAAAATTTTGTATCACTTCTGATACAGTATTCTGACTGATAAGTAAAGTTCTGCTCTCTTCTTGTAGCCTTCATCTTCTTGTGTAAATAAATTATTGCCTTGTGACATTTCTCTTCCATGTGGTGCCATTGCTGACAGCATGAAATGGGAAGGGGTTTTCTTTGTTAAGTAGCGCCCTTTTATAATCAACTGTTTAATTAAGGATTAGACTCACCTGTAGTTGAATTCTTGTTAATTAGGATTTTGTTGTCTAAAATTTAACTTTGCTCCTAAGCTTTCATTGAGGTGCATTCAATTTTGCAACATGGTCTTTAATGAATTTGTTAGGAAAAATACTTTGTGTGTGCAAATTAGCAAATCTTGTGTAAATCAATGGCCCTCATTTGCAGGAGTAATTTGTAATATAGTGTCCAATAGGAAAGGTTGATTCTGAAAGGAAAGGTTTTCTGACAAATCTGTTGTGGTGTACTCATTTATGCTGAGCACTGTACATGTGACTGGTGTAAACCTAAGCCTCACTAGTGCAGAAACTAGATCCACATGTAGAAGTGATTAATAAATGCTACATTTTAATTTACAATTCTCTAGGCTTAAGCAAGTTGGTGGGTTGGTGACATAATCTCCACCTCTCCCAAAAAGAGAGCACCTTGTGTTCATTGAAGAAAAAGGCATGTGTAAATTGAGATTTTGTCAATTGAATGGCTGCCCTTCTGTAGAATGAACACAAGGGGGTTGTTCCCTCGGCATGGCCTTCATTTACAGAAGAGACCCCCTGCGTTCAAGGATAAATTCACCTTTCATAACATGTTACACTCATAATCAGGGTGTAATGTAATATGTTATGAAATGCCCATACTGATCACAGTAATAAGTTGACTTTACTCTGGTTAACAAAAAATCCCTTACCCACTTTCTACATGCTTTCTTATCAATAAAGCCAGGAAAAATAACCAATGATAAGGGTGTGGGGAAGCAAGTAACACCTCTGCCTTCTCACAATGTAGTGCTGGGTGTCAGAGTAGCCAATCACCAGACCCGAGGGTTGTCACATGGCATTTGGGCACATTTGCACAGATGTGCTTTGATTTGCCCAGCAACCTACAAGTTACACAGGAATCTCAGACACCCTAGTAGCAGAACACAGTGGTGGGGAAATGAGTAGAAGGTAAAAAAATGCTGACATAGATTCATAGATATCCTACTTTGTTCTTTGTTTACAAAGTACTTTAATATAAAAAAAATCATTATGTTATATCCACAAAGAAGAACGTATGTAAATCTGCTGATCAGTGACTGTGGATTTCTATTTTTCTTCATTAATGCACTATGCGACCAAGGCTAAACTGGGAGAAAAACGGCTGAATTTGATAGGAGTAATACTGCAAAATTTTTTATTTATGACCCTCCCTGTCAGATGGAATTTTGGGTGTAACAGCAGCTCTGTAAAGCAGGTGTGAATAAAGCACAGACATTTGGGCAATCTCTTTGAAGACTATTCTAATCTGTTTAGTTCTAGGGGAAGAAAGGTGGAGTGAGAATTAGCTATGCCTTTCACAAATAATCTATGTTACTGAACTAAACAAGAGAGCTGCAAAGCCCAGCGGCTTCTGATGTGCCCTACTTTCCTATGAAAATGTGCTTTTAATTTTTCAGAGACTTTAAAAAGCCATAATGATGGTGTTAGTAATAGAGAAGGCTGAGCGAGCAACTGAGGCTAAGGAGGAATGTTTTCACAAGCACAATCAGAATACCACCGGCTCCAGTTCACATTCTTCCTTACATGGAGATAAAATTCTCCTGAATGTGAGGAAACAAAGACTCCTAATTGGATAACCTCTGTCCAGAACACAAAGAATCAACAAAAAAGTTTACCAAGGAAATTACATTCATTTACACTTCCATACCAATATGTACTAGAATTTCCTTTATATAAAAATTGAGCATTTGTAAATTAACTTTGTATAAATCTCAAGATGAAACATTTTTATACTGCCACCAGAAAAAAAGTGATCTGTACTATATAAAATATAAAATCAAAAACAGAAATGACTTTAGTGACCAATCTGCTTTCATGACTCTAAACAGAACGGACTGCTATAAAGTGAAAAAGAATAAGCCACTGTTCTCCACCCTATGCCATTGAATAACCCTTGCATATAGTATTTACTTTCCCTCTCAACTGCACTCCAAGGTAGGTCAAGGGCAAAGTATCCATTTTATTATACAGTACAATGTACTTCTTAGTAAAAGTTTGAACTGGTCAATTTGGATTAAAATTCCACCCAGACTACATAAACAGAGGGTGTCCAAAACAAAACGTGTACGGTAGGGTCTGTTATGTTGGCCCCTCCGTGGGCTGGTATGCTAGTTGTTTGTGTTCAGTATATGTTTTAAGTTTTTTATCTCTGTACCTTGTAAAACACAAATAAGAAATTATTTTAAAAGAAAATTCCACCCAGACTGAGCCAATAGGTAGTAGTTATTCAAATACAGGGGGGTCAAAAAGTATTTAGTCAGCCACCAATTGTGCAAGTTCTCCCACTTAAAAAGATGAGAGAGGCCTATAATTGGCATCATAGGTAGACCTCAACTATGAGAGACAAAATGAGAAAAAAAATCCAGACAATCACATTGGCTGATTTGGAAAGAATTTATTTGCAAATTATGGTGGAAAATAAATATTTGGTCACCTACAAACAAGCAAGATTTCTGGCTCTCACAGACCTGTACCTTCTTCTTTAAGAGGCTCCTCTGTCCTGCACTCATTACTTGTATCAATGGCACCTGTTTGAACTTGTTATCAGTATAAAAGACACCTGTCCACAACCTCAAACAGTCACACTCCAAACTCCACTATGGTGAAGCCCAGAAACAATTGTAGACCTACACCAGGCTGGGAAGACTGAATCAGCAATAGGCAAGCAGCTTGGTGTGAACAAATCAACTGTGGGAGCAATAATTAGAAAATGGAAGACATACAAGACCCCTGATAATCTCCCTCGATCTGGGGCTCCACGCAAGATCTCACCCCGTGGGGTCAAAATGATCACAAGAACGGTGAGCAAAAATCCCAGGACCACACGGGGGGACCTAGTGAATGACCTGCAGAGAGCTGGGACCAACGTAACAAAGGCTACCATCAGTAACACACTATGCCGCCAGGGACTCAGATCCTGCAGTGCCAGACGTGTCCCCCTGCTTAACCCAGTACATGTCCGGGCCCGTCTGAAGTTTGCTAGAGAGCATTTGGATGATCCAGAAGAGGATTGGGAGAATGTCATATGGTCAGATGAAACCAAAATAGAACTGTTTGGTAGAAAACACAACTCGTCGTGTTTGGAAGAGAGAGAATGCTGAGTTGCATCCAATGAACACCATACCTACTGTGAAGCATGGGGGTGGCAACATCATGCTTTGGGGCTGTTTCTCCGCAAAGGGACCAGGACGACTGATCCATGTACAGGACAGAATGAATGGGGCCATGTATCGTGAGATTTTGAGTGCAAACCTCCTTCCATCAGCAAGGGCATTGAAGATGAAACGTGGCTGGGTCTTCCAACATGACAATGATCCCAAACATACCACCAGGGCAACAAAGGAGTGGCTTTGTAAGAAGCATTTCAAGGTACTGGAGTGGCCTAGCAAGTCTCCAGATCTCAACCCCATAGAAAACCTTTGGAGGGAGTTGAAAGTCCGTGTTGCCCAGCGACAGCCCCAAAACATCACTGCTCTAGAGAAGATCTGCATGGAGGAATGGGCCAACATACCAGCAACAGTGTGTGCCAACCTTGTGAAGACTTACAGGAAACGATTGGCCCCATGTCATTGCCAACAAAGGATACGTAACAAAGTATTGAGATGAACTTTTGATATTGACCAAATACTTATTTTCCACCATAATTTGCAAATAAATGCTTTCCAAATCAGCCAATGTGATTGTCTGGATTTTTTTTCTCATTTTGTCTCACATAGTTGAGGTCTACCTATGATGCCAATTACAGGCCTCTCTCATCTTTTTAAGTGGGAGAACTTGCACAATTGGTGGCTGACTAAATACTTATTGGCCCCCCTGTATTTGAATAACTACTACCTATTGGCTCAGTCTGGGTGGAATTTTCTTTTAAAATAATTTCTTATTTGTGTTTTACAAGGTACAGAGATTAAAAACTCAAAACATATACTGAACACAAACAAATAGCATACCAGCCCACGGAGGGGCTCAAGACATACATGCTGCTAGCACCACAGAAAGAAACCAGAGCAAGTGCAGTTTTCAGACACAGGTATTTGTTTCCCTTGGATTGTAACCCTTACTTTTGTTTTTCATTTAGGTGATGGGACCAGGGGCGGACTGACCATTTGGAAACTCGGGCACTGCCCGAGGGCCCAGGGTCAGTAGGGGGCCCCATGAGATGCCCCTGGTACCTTTTTCATAGGCATTTTGAGTTTGGGCAAGGACACAGGGGCCCCATGATCCCCTATTGCCCAGGGGCCCCATGACTTGTCAGTCCGCCCCTGGATGGGACATGATATTGCAGGACATATAGAATGCTGCATATGTTTTTCAACATAAAGCAAAGGACCCCTTTAGTCAATGTTGACAACTTATCAGTCTACTGTTGACAGGAAACATGCTTATGAATCTGCTAACATTGTATACTACTCTCTGTGCTAATAAAGATGTGGACAAGCCCAATGTTCTTTAGAACCAAACCTGTG